CACCAAAAAGACCTGCACAGCAACTGGTGACCTTTGGCTGATGCTCCTACCAGAATTACAGAGATCCAAGAAATGGAACAACAGTAAACACTGTGCTTACTGGAGAGTTTGTAAGAGCAGGATAAATTATTTCTGAGGGTGGTTATGCCCCAGCCAAGATTGCATTTGCACTGAAGTTCTGTCTGCCCACTAATTGAGGAAGCTCTTATGCCACTGCAGCAGCACCCTGAAAATGCCAGTTGTTCTGCAGGTGTGCTGACCTTAATGCCTTTACCTGTAGTCCAGGCAAGTCATCCTGAGTCTGGCTAACACCGCTGATCCCACCAACACCTGTGGGGACTTGCCATGCTCTGTGGCACTTTCAAAGGCTAATGCTAAATGTGCATTAGGATACTGTGTTGCAGGGTAAGTCTGGGCCTGCAACACAGTATCCTAATCCTAAACCTGCAATGGGCTCTGAGTTAAAAAAAAAAAAAAAAAAAAAAAAAAAAAAGGGTTCAAAAAAAAAAAAAAAAAAAAAAAAAAAAAAAAGTGCCAAATGAGAAATCTATTTAGCTTCAGATATAATGAAATTTGTCTGTAACGGGAGACTGGGCAGAGTGAGGCCAGCTGGCCATTTGGGAATTTGGTTAATGTCTCCACTGTAATCCTGGCGGTGAAGGGCCAAAACTGTGCTCCTGCATCTCTGTCAGCATGACCTGTGACGGGCCACCGCCCTAATCTCAGAAAAACAAAAGCCCTTTTGGAGCTGAGCAGTGCCCACCGCAGCCCCTCTGCCGTGCCAGCCCCAGAGGCTCGGAGAGGGGTCCCTTCCCCAGGGGGGCAAGGAGAACGCCTGGGTGCTGCTGACCGCCGCGGCCCCGCCAGCGCCTCCAGCCCAGCTCCGCGGGATGCCGGCCCTGCGCTCCCTCCTGCCAGCCAATCTCCTCTCCGGAGAGCCCGGGAGGGACGGGAACGCATCGGCGCGGCCGCCTCGGTGCGGGTCAGACCTGCGAGCCGCCGGGAAGGGCCCGGTCACGGGCGCTGGGCGTCCCCAGCCCCGGCCACGCCGAGCGGCACCGGGGCGAGAGACGCGCGGGGTCCCTCTCGACGCCTGGGCGCGGGGGATTCCGCTGCCGGCTCTGTCCCGCTGCTGCGGAGCAGGGAACGGAGCGGGACCGGGACCAGCCCGGCCCCTGCGCTCGCCGCCGCCGCTGTCGCCACGGACGCGGCCGTTGCTGGGGCGGGGCTCCCGCGGGTGCGACCCCCGGCCGGGCACGCGTGGGGCTCGTGGGGAGCCCGTGCCCGTCGCGCTGAGGGTTCGCGACCGGCTCCGAGCCAAGCCCTCGCAAGGCGCGGTGCCCCGCGGCCGCTCTCACGGGGCCTGCCCGCTGCCAGGGCGTGCGGGGCAGCGAGAAGCAGCAGGAAGGGAGAGGGACGGGATTTGGGATGGCGCTCCCCCGTCACCCCGCCCCGTGCGGCCGCTGAGAGTGAGTGCCGTGGTGAGGAGGAGCCCTCTCTTCGGCACACACGGAGGAGATGTGTGAGCTCACCACCATGCTCCACGGGTGCTGGGGAGGGAACATTTGCCCAAGTCCCGGACACCCTTGCGGCAACAGCAGCAGCTGCTGTGGCAATCACGGAAAGAACCGGGCAAGGGGTGCAATGCAAATGGTTTTGTACCAGTCAGTATTCAAAGGGTGAATACGTCGCTATCCTCAAGATACCCGTTTCCTTGCATGTTTGTATGGCTAAAGGTACGCTGCCTGTGCCCAAAGTGGGCTTGCTTCAAGGCCTCATATTTTGGGGCAAAATGACATCACAGGCAGGTCTGATGGGGGAGGAAAGCAAATCTGAGAACTCCACTGATAGCAAGATCTTGGTCCTTCTGCTGCAAACCTCAACCTGTTCGTTTTTCATTCTGCTGTTAAGCATCCTCTACAGAGGTGGGGAAAGACCAGAATCTTCATCAAGACACACATCATGCTGTGGAGTATAAAGAGTAAACAAGGGGATGAAAACATGCATCTCCTCTTTCCCATTTCTCAGATCTAAGTGTTGCAGTATTTGCCAGGGCATTTCCAGCCTGAGACAGGTTTTCCTTTCACTCCTTTGGAATGCTGATGTACTGGGCACAAGAGGACTGCAGCTAGCCTGTGCCCTGTGGGAGCATACATAACACTGGTGCCAGCTCTCATGATAGTCCTGCAAGTCCCATAATAGCTGGCAGTTTTAGGAAGCTGTGCTGACTTTCATATAAAATTTACCTCCTGGTCATGAAGAAGATGTTAAAAGCATGATCCCAGATCACCCTAAAGGCTCAGCAACAAAACAATAAATGCAAAGAGGCATAGATTTAAAAAAAAAGAATCAAGACCCTGAGGCTTCCTTAGTGAATTTCAAAGATGTAAAGTTAGACCTTGGCAGCAATGTACTTCTTTTTCTAGGTGTGGCCTGATTCTGTCACTCAGCTCCCCAGAAGACAGTGACACTGCCTGTGAGTCAAGCTGGTGTTCAGCACAGTGGGGTAGTCAGAAGGCTTGCAAAGCCCTTCACAAATGCTGGCCTCACACTGACCATATTACTCCTGGGAACACATCTCCAGGGCTTTTGAGACCTTGAAAAGCAGAAATGAGAGCAACATAAAGCCAGGGATATTTTCTCTTGCACTGATTTCCATGCATACATTTGGTCAGACTCCTAAATTGCAAAGGAGATAGCCAAACCAGATCCACAGAAATAGCACCCCTGAGTTACCTGCATAACAATGATCAATTTCTGAGCTGAGCCTTCAGCAAGCCATCAACACTGAAGTTTTCAGCCCACCTAATGGCTAATATAATGCAAATGTCATGTTTTGGAGACTTCACAGTCCAATGGAGTTCAGCTGTGTCTACCCAGTCATTGATTCCCAGAGACAACAGTGCTCAATATTGCAGTCAGTTGTCAAAATAGATGCAATCAGATATTGGATCATATGCTGAAAAGAAGTAGTGGCAGTCCAAAAAATAGCTGTGTTAACTCCTTCTGTACCTTAGCATTTATTTCCAGTGGGAAATGTAGACATTAGTGCTGTTCCCAGTGGGGTGTGCAGTGGCAGTTGCTCCTTAAATTCTGTGGAATAGGGATGCAGGGTAAAATATTGCATCCATTTCCATTCCCATCCCCACTGTTGACAGTTGAGAATGAGGATGAAGGAAGGTACTGCTTCCTGGCCCTAGTGACGAAAGTCCTACCAGCAGACTCCAGGTGCCCTCTGTATCCCTCCAGCTACCAGGTCTCAGATTTCCCCTAGACAGCACCTGTGATGGTGTTGTGCATAATCAGCTCTGCCAGCTTTGCCTGGAGTTGGAGGACAGTGTATCACAACAAAGAGAGTGGACAGGAGCCAGGTCCTGCAGTGTCTTGTGTGGGAGGAACACATCCCACAGGGTATCTTCTGCTGCTAATGTGAAGATTCAGGTGCTGTTCTGGAAACAAAGCTGTGGCTGTAGGGCGACAACCTTTTTTAGTGTCCCAGCATGATGGACTAGAAACATGATCCTCCCTGGCTTTGCCCAGGCACCAACACATCCTGCAGCCAAGCATTTCTCCTCTCCCTCTCAATCTCTCTCTCCCTCTCCTTCTCTCCAGTTACACCAGCACCAGCTGTCTCTTCAGGGATTTCAGGAACACATCTGGTGATCTTTCTGCCCGCAGCAAGTAGCAAGCTGTTTGTATGCAGTGGCAGCTGGAGGTAGAAGGAGTGAAAAAACCCCACGTGTCCTCCTGGTCAGTTCTGCTAGTGCATCTCCTGCAGCCTGCAGTGTCCTCACATCATAACACAATGGCTGGAAGTCACCACACCAGTCCAGGATATAATTTCATTTGAGTCCTGTGTTCCATGTGGGGCAGCCTCTCTAGCTGATGCCTGCAGCAAGGCAACCTCCATCTGTCAGATGTGGTTCATGTCTCCGTGGGGAAGAACCATGGACACAGCTGAAGGACAGGCTGGAGAGGAGCCTCTTGGTGTTTGATGTCCCCCTGACACCAAAGGGATTCATTAGGGTATGAGCCAGCGAGGTTTGTCCTCGGCACTAGTGCAGTCCTCTTTCATTAATGGCTTCTACCCTTTCAATGAGGAGCACTGAAAGTTGCCAAAACTGGGCACGACTCAGAAAATTGAGGATGCTGAGGAGCAGGGAATGGCTCCAAAGCTCTATTTCCAGGCCCTCCTCTGGCTGGCTCCCTGCAGCTTTTGCTGGAAAACACTGCTTACAAGCAGCCAGCAGCTCCTGGAGTCCTGGGGGAAGAAGCAAAACAAATTACATCCTGGAAGGAGGAAAATTGCCCCTGTACAGCCAGTGCTGAAGGATGGGGGAGCAGAATGCTCTCTGTGCTGCTGCTTTCCCAAAGCTTTCTGCTCTCCCTGGGTTGCGGCAGGAACCATGCAGCTGCTGACAGCTATTAATAGATGGGGAGAACGTGGGCTCTTTTTCCTACTGCTTCCTGGGATGAATGGTAATTACCCTTAATGAGACTGGATTTGGTTCTACCTCCTACCTTCCAGCCTCCTTGCCTGCACTGGCAGGGAGAGACCAGCCCATCTGCTGCCTGCACTGGCTCTGTGGGGAGCAGAGCTTGACAGCAGGAGTGGAGGCTCATCTCCCCATGCCATCCCACAGGCCTTGCTTGTGGATGCTGGGCACAGGGCAGGAGGCAGAGCCTGCCAGCTGACAGGCTGCAGCAGCTCCCTTCAGCCTGGCCTTTCCAGTGGCACACAGGTGCCCTGTGGGGGGTGAGGTAAATGATCCCACCACAGGCTGAGAGTGCAGCTGGCTTGGATGCTCTCTCTTTGAGTTTAATTAAAGAAACAAAACAGAGGAACAAATAATCAAGGAATCTGTCCTGTTGCTATGATTGGCATCCCCATCATCATGCATCACACCAAGATTTGTGAAAAGGGGTATCCTTCCTCCCTTGCTGGTGCAAAACCAGTCCCAGAATATTCCTGGACTTGGTCCCCATCTTCCACAGGGCACAGTCTAGCTGCCATAGGGTTAATCAGGATATGACCTGCACAAGTGAGATGGTTTTGTTCTCACACCACCGCGCCTCTGGCTTGAACTCTGAAGCAGGAAGGTTTCCTTCATTCTCGTTACTTCAAAAATACTGCATAAATAGTGCAGGAGTTTTTCTTCATCCGCTGGGAGGCTGTGCCTCCTAGGAATTACCTCCAAGTAGATGGATGCAAATGTTAAATCTTTCTTGTACATCCCAGACTCTGGCTGTGGGGCAGGATATCCTCTGCATTAGTGTTTGTCTAAGGTGCTTGGTAAGGCTGCACTTCACAACTCCACCTCTGTGCTGTCCTACCCATCTGGACAGCCACAGTGCCTCAAGGACTATACCACTCCCTGAAAACTTGGTTCAGCTTAGCAGCAGGTAACACTTTCCACCATGGGAACCCCCTCCCTTCACTGACCTTTGCCATTTTGCATTAGGGCAAGAGGTAAAAGGCTGCCCCATTTGTCAAGCTGAACTTCAGTTTATTTGCCTCTATATTTTCTTGACTGAATCAAAAACCTTCCTGCAGGCAGGATCTGTGATCTGTGGTCAGGCACCTACTGGTTCCCATTTGCAAACCCCTGCCTCCTTGCTTCTGGAGCCTTCTCTTTTTCCCTCTCTCTGAGATCCCTCCAACGTCAGACCAGAAGTTTCAAGTCCCTCTGCTGACTCCCACTCAGCCCTCGTGTTGCATCCAAGTGCCAGATGGCACTCTAGGATCGAGAAAGACCTGTGCCAGGCTCCCCTCCCTTTCTCTCCACCCTTCAATCTAGGGAAAAGAGACAGAGAAACAGCACTGCCAGATTTCAGGCCGCTGTGTTTGTGCCAGCTTCGGTGGTCTTCAGCCCCAGTTGCAGTGGGATTGACATGGGAGGTACTGGCACTACCCTGGAGCAAGGGGTGCCAGGGAAGAGAGGACCTACTCTGAAGCTCCCCTCTGTGCCCAGCTCTGTGTTATAATTAATTAATTAACCAATGCTGAGGAGACAACCACAGCCACTGCTTTCTCCATGCTCCCCCAGCTCTGCTTCCTTCTTTTCTTGTTGGAAAATTTCTTGTTTGTCTGGAGTTGCTGACCAGCACTGGGTAACTGCCTGCAAAGGTCTGCAAGTCTGAAGGTTTAGCAATCTCCTCTTGGGCAGGACAAGTGCCCAGGC